CCTCATCATTGCGGACTGGTGGGGCGTGTCAGCCAGTATGAGTGTGCACACTGTTGAAGCCGTTCTCAGCCTTTTTGTTGGAACGCGTATCGCGACAAAAAGTGGTAGAAAACGAGTAGTACGAAGTATATGATACAGTCATATCACTTGCTCGCTTTAACAACTGGTGGAGAACGGGTTTGGCACCGCGCCAAACTCATCCAGCCTGACGCGCCCATTCGTCCGCAGCGAGCTACGCTACAGCTTCATTTTTCGGCCATGCTTTTCACTATGGTAGGGTCGGTTATAATGGCCGTTAGATTTTGTTTTATTTGCATAACTCAAGTGATCACATAGCAAGTTATAGTGCAGAGGCACCTGCACAGATAGTGCTCGCGAGATAACTCAGCCTATTAGCTGATATCCTAATCATTCGACAATGGCAATGCTTTGTGGACAGCATACTCTCAGACATGACGGATGTTGAAAGAATAGCAGCGAAATGTCACTGACGCGATAGCAAAACCGTTGCGAGCGCGTGCCGATCGTAACTATACGGTATTTGCAATTGTCACGCGACGCCGCACGGTCCTACCGTTACACATACGTTTACATGTTATTATTTTGTTATTGGACGTCACTCACACATTAGCTCTTAACAGTTACAGAAGTGGGTTACGCTTGTTCTGTAGCTTCATTTCTGCAGTGTTGTTGTACTCGTGACATCCTGGAACACGATCCTGCACAACTCTTCTCTCTAAGTGCAGAGCTTTTCACCGCACCCGTAGGCAGTGTCCATTCATATCAGGAAAATCCTTGCCTTGGAAGTATTTCCAGGTCATTTCACGCACAATAACTCTCCAGCGAGCTGTTGAGAAAAAAAAACTCTTGAGGCGCTAAGAGCGGGATTGATTCTTCCTTACTTACATTTTCTGCTCAATTGTAAACCGGTTCTGTTCAGATTCGAGAACTTCTTCGCGAGGAAATACTTAACAGTTCTTTGGCATCAACATATGACCCAAAGGATTTAGAATTTCTCTCCTCCTTGACTGTAGTTCAGG